GGCGGGGTCGGAACTCCGAAAGAGGCTGGGCGAGGATGGAGACAGAGACCCCTGCAAAGGCAAAACCCCCTCGCAGCCCCTGGCCCAGCGCTGTCACACAGTGGGGTGGCCGCTTGTCCACTTTTTTCCGGAGTCTGTAATACTCAAATCCAAAGCCCAGATGACATTCTTTCTGCACAGGGCAAAGATATTTTACGTTTGTCTTTTGCCGTCATGGGGAGAGTTAAATGCTATTCCGATTCCTACTCTCTCTCTTCTTCCCCTTAAACACCATTTCAAAGTTTAAAAAAAAAAATCTTGAAGTATTTCAAACACTGTCCTTCCCGCCCCACCCGTCATAAGGCGAACAGCTGTGGCAGACAGAGGAAGCCAACTTTCCTTCCATTTGAACAGAAACCCACGACCTGCCCTTTCTGGCTTTGCACGTTGGAAAACGCCGGTTTCTGGCCCGGATGGGAGTTCTGAGAGCGCATGTCAGCTGGCACCCACGAGACGGAGGATTCCAGAACCCACAGTCCTAGCCACGACTGCAGCCTCGGAGAAACCCTGGGTTGGAGAGGACCCCCGAATGACGCTCGGAGCCTCGGCGCCGCCCCCCCCCCCTCCGCTGTGGGTCCTCACCAGCTGGTCCAGCCTTTCCTACTGATATCTGCAAAGGAAATCATTCTCACTTCTCGGGTTCCAGGGAAACTCAAAGAAACAATATGCCGAAAAAGGGCCCGGTGCTTGGCTCCTTCCTCTGGCAAGGATGTGGCTGGGGGTGCTGACATCGCACTGAAGTCCTTCTAATTTTTTTCTTTAAAGACTTGTTTTAGAGAGAGCGGAAGAGAGGGAGAAAGAGAGGGTGAGAAACATCGATGTGAGAGAGAAACATCCATCAGCTGCCTCTCGTCCACGTCCTGACCAGGGACTAAACCCACAACCCAGGCCTGTGCTCTGACTGGGAATCGAACCAGAGACCTTTTGCTCTGTGAGCCCAGGTCCAACTGTCGGAGCCACACGTGTCAGGACTAATTTGTTTTCTTTAAGCATCAGAGGTTGAGGGCTTCCTCTTTGGTGGAGGAGGAAAAGGTAGGGATGCACCCTGACTCCGCCTCCCCCGGACAGGACTTAGCACCAACCCCAACGCCTGGGCGAGGCCATGCTGACAGCATTCAAAATCCCCTTCAGGCGAGGCGCTGGGGTCTCTACGACTTAAGGAAGAAGACAAGCACCGTGCTCCCCGTCGAACCCGCGGCCTTCTCCCTCCTGACCCGAGAAAGCAGCGATCCTCGAGCTGCCACGTGAAAGGCATGCCCTTGAGCCTTCCGTCCTCCCCCACCGCCTTACTGTTCCATTGAGACCAGAGGCGTCGGAGCGAGAGGCGTGCGCACACTGGGGCTGAGGAGCTTGTAGGAGCAGAACTTTGTTTTAAATCTTTCATGTGGCACAATACAGGTCGCTGAGCAGCCTGTCAAGTGTTTCATTTTTAAACATCTGCCGAGTCAAAGTATATCACAGAATGATCTCTCCATGTACACGAGTTTTCCAAATAACAGAATTATAAACTTCTCTTAAGATATCATTGTGGCAAACAAGAACTCATGGTGGTTACCAGAGGGAAAGGGGGTTGGGGGAGGTAGGAAAGGGCAGAAGGGGTCAGATATATGGTGGCAGAGGACACTTGACTTTGGGTGGTGAACACACAATGCAACGTGCAGATGATGTGCTGTAGAACTGTACGCCGGAAACCTATAAAATTTTATTAACCAATGTCACTGAATAAATTCCATTAAACATGACTTTTAAAAATATATCATTTCGATGAAATGCTTATTAAAATGTCTAACACATTCCTCACAGAATGTACTGACCACAACTTAAGGGTTGCCTGATGCTTTAGGGTCATGGAGATCCCTCACCCCGCCACCATTCCACAACACAGGGGTGCCCCCGGGTGGCCTGCGGGCCCCACGCCCGGGGGCTCCGGGTCACTGTGCCGTGGTTTGTGTTTAGGATCACTTTTCTGTCTCCCCCACGGCTGTTAGTTACCACTTCTCGCCGCCCATCTCTCCACAGCTCTACCAGCATTTCGCCCACTGCGAACTGAACCCCCCGAGCCTGTGAGAACAGGGTGTAAGCCACGAATAAACAGGACCTAAAGGAAGACCCAAGAGGCTCTGTCTTCTTAAGATGCGTGGCTGTCGGCTCATCTCCTCTGATGCTCAGGGAGGACCTTCCCATCCTTCTAGGTCTCAGCTGCCCCCAAGGTCCAGCTGCCTCCTGGGAAAGGACACTGCCCTGCTGGGACAGGGGGCTGAGGCCACCGGAAGTCTTCCTGGTGGGGGGGCTCCTGAAAACAGCATGCCACCTGCTCAGGCAGCTCCAAGATAGAGCCAGTGGGGCTTAACGGAGCCAAAGAAGCTGAGAAGGACTTTTTTTTTTTTTGTAAAGTTATGTGAAATCTTGTGGTTCCAAACAGGCTCCCCTCAGCTTCCTAATCCCTCACTTAGGAACCCCGGGGCTCTCACGGCGGGGGCGGAGGGGGGGGCCTTTGGGAGCAGAGAGCCACAGACCGCGCTGAGCACACATTTTGATGGCCACCTGCCGGCCCTGGGGAAGGAGCGCTTCCTGAAGCAAAACAAGCCAGGGCCCTTCACAGGGACTCGCGGGGAGTCTACTCAGACCGCCAGCACCTTGCTTTCGCCCAGTGATGCCTTAGAGAGATAGTCAGCGCCTCCTTGTCCCTCTCAAAGGAATGACTTCTAACGACAGGGTATAAAAAGCACTTTTTTGGGGGGGGCGGGGGGAAGCCCTGTCCTGGTCCTTGGCAGGCAGGCAACAAAAGGTGGCATTTATTAACAATTTGTAGCGGGTTGAAAGTACTTTCGTTACATTGGTTTGAACTGCATTGTGCCGCATTTGGGACCGGTATGCGCATATGCATATTTATAGGAAAAAGGATGGGAAGTCTGAGATCAAACGTTATTTAGTGGTCAGGTCAAGGTATGGGATTATAATTTTGGGGGGGGCTTCATATTTTGGTTTCTCAAGTTTCCTTTGTTGAACGTGTATGGCTTTTATAGTGAGGTAGATAAAAGTTATTTTTAAAATATTTTTCTTTTGCCACTTAAAAAAAATATCTTCCTCTGCCTCCTGTGTCCCTCCTTTCTGTGCCAACAAACCTCCCAACACGTGACTCTAGTGGGGTGCGGCTGCAGGACAGCGGGGTCCTCGGGAGCCCGAAGCCCTACCGCAGGGAGCGGTATCAGCGGGTCTCCCTCTTTGTTTCTGCCTTGGCGTCTGCAGCCCGGGGACTGGGACCACCTGGACTCACACGGCCTCTCCAGTCGCTGGGCCCACGGGGCTTGAGCGGCGGTGACAGGTGGCCCTTGGCTGTAGAAGAGTGTGGCCTTTGAGAGCAGGCTGGCGCGAGTGAATCAGCTTCCAGCCCTCCCTACTACTGGGGCGACTCTGTGCTACCAAACCACCTCGTGTCCCGGAACCTTGCTTTTCTCGTCATCAGAATGAGAACAGTGCTTGCTGGTGATGCAACGAGATGTATGCCGAGGGGGGCACTGGGCACAGAAGGGCGCCTCTGAAAGCAGGCCCTGTTATTCGTGGAAGTACACCCAGAACATAGGGGCTTCGGAACAGCTTCCCAACCCTGGTGCACTTCGCAGTACAAAAGGAAACTTGTAAAAGACAGATGTCCAGATGGGGCAGGCATCCTCATGTGGCTGTGGCCACAAAACTGCCATTTGACCATAAATTCCACTTCCTTTCCCTCCACAAGTCCATGTCCAGAACGTCCTTCCTGTTGACTCCACATCACCACCTCCAGGAGACCCCTCGCGAGTCTCCCAGGCTGAATGATTGCCTTCGACACCCAAATTTGGTGCAGAATTCAGGGGAATTTGCACTTGCCATGGTGTCGATTGGAAAACAGCCTCAAACCCCTTCGCACGTTTGTATTTTCTATGTGTACACTCGATTTCCACCTGATGCTGAGCGCAGATGAGGGCTCCTGGCTGCTGGGGCGTGCTCAAGGCTCTGCGCCCGCTCCAGGCCGCCAAGGGAAGGCCAGCCCGTGCAGTGGCCCGGCGGTTCTCAACGCGTCCTCCCAGGATGGCAACATCCGTGTCGCCTGGGACCTTGTTGGGAAGGCAAGGTCTCAGCCTGCCCAGGACGGCACCATCGAACCTGACTGTTACTTCGGGCTGTGGGGCCTGGTGTCTGCTTTAATACGCCCTCCAGGTGGCTCAGTGCTTGCTCGCTCAGAGGTGCTGAGTTAAGCCAAAAGCTAGCCTCCACCTGTGCGCCCAGAAAGGCCTTCACTTCCTCAAGAAGAACAGGGTCAGCAGAGGTTTGAAATCGGCCCCATTGTCTGCAAGGGCGTGTGTGATGTCTCATAAGCACAGAGCACGCTGTGGACGGTCACGTCTGCAAATTCATGTCTAAAAAAATACCTCTGGGGCACACTTTCGTCACTTTGCCTATTACCAGGGGCATTCCTCATAAGAAACTTTGCTAGAAAACTAGTTTACCCTTTATAAGCCTATTCTAAAACTAATTTTTCTGGCTTTGGAATATGCATGCTGCCTGATGTTAACATCTCATTATGACCCAGTGACCTCACTATGAACTAGCTTACGGTACTGGGCCCCCAGATGTAGGTTGTGATGTTCAGATATTTGCCCAAAAACAGCCCCAGGTTCCTGGCCACTGTGAGTCCTTGTGCTCACTTTCTAGAATTTTCTGTCTGCTCCAACCTTCCGCAGTGTGGGCTCCCCACAGAACACCAGCCTCCCTTCTAATCTGTGCTGAGAAGACAGACAACCCCGCTGGCTCGAACTGTGTGTGGATCAAGAGCAAACCGGCATGAGGGAGGCTCCTGTGGGTTAACTTCTGAGCCTGGCATTCCAGCCCTCTCTCTCCCTCCCTCCATCCCCCCACCACTGTGCCGGGCTGGGAATACACATTGGCTTCAAATCACCATGGAGGTGAGGAAGTCACGTTACCTGATCCTGGAGTTTCTGGAACATCAAGGGGTGTGGCTCTTCCAGGATCTTCTCATTGAGCCGGGACTGCCCCTCGACATTGACCTGGGACGAGGCCTTGCTGGACAGAAAGGTCATGTAAATCTCCTTCGCCTTTTCCTGCATCTGCGGGAGATACACAGAGCCTGTTACTTGCCAGTGCAGCCCCTCCCGCCTGCACCCAGCTCTCTGCTCTGGCCTGGCCTGGGGGATGTGGCTGCCCCTCCCCCTCCTGTGACAAAACTGATCTGCTGTCCCTTTGGAAAAAATGAGAGAAAGACTCCTGGCCCACAGTGGGTGACATTTGTACCATGCAGGACTATCCTGTGGCTCCTCCAAATTAAGGACTCACAAGAACATCACTCAGCCATACCAAGGCAGATACGAAGTCTGGACGCGCACACAGCATGGGCGAACCTCAGCGCACTGCGCTGAGAGAAACCAGACACTGCAGGCCACACGACACAGGATTCTGTTCATCCGGAACATCCAGACCAAGCGAATCCGTAAAGACAGAAAACGAGTGGCTGCCCAGGACCAGGGGGAAGGGAAAGGGAAGGACCTGCTTCGTGAATACGGGGTTTCTATTTGGGGTGATGAGAAATTCTGGAACTACACAGTGTGTAGCAGGATGAGGGCTCTTAAGGCCCTGAACCGCACACTAAAATGGTCAAAATGACAGCCCTAAAAAATGGCTAAAATGGTAAAATTTGTTAAGTGTATTTTACCACAATAAAAAAAAAAATCAAGTGAAATTATACACACACATCCCAGCCAGTTATCAGGTACCTACCATGCTCCAGGACATGCAAGGTGTCCTACCATCAGGGTCCCATTTCCTTAACTTTGGGAGCACCCAGCAAAGTGCCACTTTCCTGTTGGCACCACTTCCCTGCAGGGTGACATAGGACCGCGTGGCTCCAACGCCTTGCATTTCTGCTCAGCTCCCCACTTGCGAGAAGCACTACCCGCCCCAAGTTGTGCGGTTTCTTGCCTCCCCAGGCAGGTTGTTTTTCCTAGCGATGGGGTGAGTGTGAGCAAGGGAGAGAGCACTTACTGGCCGCCCTGGGTCCCAGGTGCAGGCCGGGAAGCCCTGGCGCTTGAAAGGCTTGTAAGCAGAGTTGGAAAAGGTGTGCACATCTAACGCTCTGAAAAGCAATGCTGGCGGGGGCAGAATGCGCTCACCGCTCACCGCAAGTGCTGTGTCTCAAAACCAGCCGCCTCCCGGCTGGGGCTGCAGAAGGACGCAGGTTCCCCCTGGCCTGGTCCCCTGAGGCCTCAATTTTCACTCAGAGAAAGGAAAGTGTTCACACCTCGGGGCAGCAAACCTGGGGCCATATCTTTAAACATTAACGCCTAAAGTATTACCTCACCCTGCCAGGCAGGCCAGACCATAAAGGCCTCTAAAATTCAGCCCTGGGGCTGCGATTTGTGGGGGAGGGGGCTGGAGAGGCCTGGAAAACTGCCCCGTTCTCTCCAAAGAGCGCACCTCCCCTTGCCTTCCCCGCCCCGCCCCCCTCACAGGCTGCAGAACTTGGCTTAGGAAACCCCAGGCTGTGAAATCCTTTGGCCGTATGGAAAACACCAGAGGTCTACACGACCTGGTGCTTGAAAGGAGGAGAAAGGCAGTCCTTCAACTTATTTTGGTTCCACGGACTCACTGACAAAAAGCCCCACGAGGCCAAAGTCTGACTACCCCCTGTCCTCCGGAAAGACTGCCCAGGTCTTTCTAGAAAGGACATCCAAGGCCACAGTGTCCGTTCCTCATCGACTCTCATCGCGAACAATTCATCAACACCTGGCTCAGACACACAAGGGACATCTTAAGCTCAATATGGCTCTTCCAAGGGACGCATGCGGGGACCACAACCCAGACCCAGGTGGGGCGGCACCTTGGGGCTGCCTGCCTCTGCAAGACCCGCCCCCGCCACGAAGCCACGAGCCTCCCTCCCACCACCTCTGTTCTGCCAGGAGAAACATTTCTAGAAAACTCCTGCCTGCTCTCATACTTCATAAATGTATCAGCCGGTCAGATGAACAAACTGCATGCAAAGCTCTGGAGGCAGAAAGCACTCAGTCCTCCCCTCCCCCTTGAACACACAGTTTCCAGATGAATCCAGGCTGTCTTGGGTAGTTCCGAAAAGAAGCATAATGAATCAGTAGCTTGAGGCTTAAGCGGGGGCGGGCAGAGGAGAGGAAGCAGGTTGCGGAGGTTGGGGGGGACGGGGGTGTGAGTCTGCAAATCTCCAGGTCTCTCAGCCCCCCTGCATGTCCCCAGCCACCCCTCCAGGGTCTCCCTCTGGGAATGGTGCGGGTTCCCCGAGGCGCCCCCTCTCCCACTGAACTCGCCGTAGCTGCACAGCCTATCTGGGCCTGGGTAGGAAGCGTGACTGAAAAGGGAAACCCTGAGACTGCCAACCGCAAGCCGGTCACGGGAAGGCCCGGTGCCTCCGCCGAGGACACTTAGCAAAAAAGAAGAACCTGGTCTCTTGAGCTGTTTTGGTAGATTTTCCAGGGCTTTGTCAACCCTCTTCTGGCTCCTGTCAGGACAGGAGCAGAAAACACCCACCGCGGGGGGCGGGTGGCCCAGGTCCGAGATTCCATCTGTGACCTGCGTCTCTCCCCCGGGCCCTGCGGAGGGCAGAGGGCCCGGCATTCCGCCCCAGGAGCCGCCCGGGCCCACGCAAGGACTCCTGGCATCAGCTCGAGGCTGCCTGCCTGGGCCGGCACCGGGGCAGCTCTCCCCGACACCGAGTCCGGGGCCTTGCTCCCAGCCTGGCACCTGCCACACCTGCGCCCAGCCTCCGCTCCCAACAGGCACAGGTGCAGGCGCGACGAGTGCCTTCCTAGAGCCCCAGAACCAGTCACCTGCCCCAGGGAACAGCAGCGCACCAGCCCCATGAGCTCCCGAGAGCGCTGCTGTATGCTGTTTCCTTGCCCTCGCCCGACAGGCCAGCTTCCACCTTTCCCACCGGGAAGATAAAACACCACCTCCTTTTACTCACATCCTCCTACAGCCAGTGACCATCCCCCACCACCGCCACCTGGATTTCTTATAGAAACGTCGCAGAAGATAAGCGTGCACTGAGTCTGTTTTCTCCCCGCCCCACTCCGTGGGGCTCCTTGCCCACCCGCCGGCTCCGACCTCGCCCTGGACCGCCCGCCGGCCCTGGCCCTGCTCCCCGCTGCTGCCTTCTCAGGCTGCTCCAACACCTCCCTGTGTCCTGGGCCAGCTCCCCTCTCTCCAGGGTTCTGCCCTAGGCTGACTGCTTTCCTAATTACATGCTCTCCCAAGATTTCAGCCCAGCCCTCCCTCCACGCTGCTGACCAGGCAGGCGGCTGATTTCTAGACCTTCCCCTGCCAGATGCCAAGGAAGGAAGTGGTGTCCTCCTGGCCAGCGGGCCCTGCAGGAAGCTTGGCACTGAGACCCCCCCGGCACCTCCCTCCCCTCCCCACGCTGCCTGTCACCAAGCTCTGCTCATGTTGCTTCCTGCACCATGGCCATCAGCTGTTCCTCTCCGGCCTGTCATGCTGCCAGAGGTGGAGGGAGTTCGCAGAAGACAATTAAAGGAGCAAGCCACCACCTTTATTCCGATCAGCTTCAGACAGACAATGAGGCAAAGAAAATGTCAAGTAAAGGATTCGAGAATATTGCCGAGAACTAGCTCAGGAAATGCAAAGCAGTTGAGGGGGCAGTGGATGACTCCGCACAGAGCAGGAGCAAACCTAGGCACCTGCACAGCCGGGCGGGGAGGGATGCCAATGACAAATGTCCAAAAATGGCAGGAACCTGGGTGTCGGGCAACCCGGCTGGAAGGGACGATGGGGCAGCAGAAAGAAGCCAATAGACCCCCAGGTCCTCAGCCCCCCAACTCTGAACATTCAGGGGATTGTCTCCCTCTCTCCTCTTCCTCCCACCCCCTCCCCAGTTTTCTTCTGTAAAGGAACTGACTCAGGGGAGCCGCAGAACAGAAGCAGGAAGGAGGGCAGGGATGAGGTGCCAAACTGCATACGGGGGGCATGAAATTCCGCATGCAAGTTCCCTAGCAAATCTCCCCGACCTCGTTGGTCAGAGGTGCAGTTAGTCTATAAACATAATAATATTAGGCTTGTGGCCACCGGGAAGAGACTAGAAGGTCTAGAGAAAACAAACAAACAACAACAAAAAAGCATAAAAACTTCAACAGAAAGATTTAAAGATAAAGCTGAAATCTCCAAAGAAAAGTAGGAACCAAAAGCCAAAGAGATGAAAAAATAATGATAATAAGAATAACATAAGGACACTTTTCAGAACTATAAATTTCCAGATTAAATGGCTCCATAAAATGCCCACCTAGTGAATGAACCCCAATCTCTCCAAAGCCTCTAACTGTACAGGCTTAGAATGCTGATGCTAAAAAGAAGATCCCGTGCTATTCCAGAGAAGAAACAGCAAAGAAAACAAATCAGCTTCCATATAAAATACTGATCGTAACAGAAATGAAGACAGTGGAAAATGTCTTTCAATTTCAGAGTGAGTTTCAACCTGGAATTCATTCAGTTCTAGGCTCTGTTCGACTGTCAATGAAGTGGAAGAGTAGGGGCAATAAATTACATTTTCATTCACCAAGATCATTAAACGTCCACCTGCCCTGTCCTCTCTCTCGAGAGGCCATCGCTGGCCACCCTCCACTGCAATGAGCAAGTGTCTCCGGACAGGAGGGCCTGGGTCCAGGGAGCAGGAGAGGGGCAAGGGGAACAGCCAGCGCTGGTAGAGGAAGACCCAGGGAGCTGCGGCCAGAGGGCCTGGGAAGACTGTCCCCAGGTGAACCCAGACAACAGAGAGGAGCCAAGAGGCGCGAACCCACGCAACGCTGTACCAAGGAACATTTTATGGGACTGTGGGAAGCAGCAAAGCCAAAAGTTGTGCAGGAAGAAAAATGTAACTGTAGCATCCTCCTTGCTCAGTGGCAAACAACAAACAGTAAATATTTTCGTAATGAAAGTGCGGTACCTAGGGCTGTAAGTGAGGCCTTGGGTATAGCAGAGGAAGCTGACAGATAGCATCTAAAGACAGTAAATGAGCGGGGAAGGAACTGCACTGGGCCAGCCTGAGGCCACACCGAGGGCAGGGGCAGCGGGGCTCCGGCAGGGCTCAGCCTGGACCCGGCCACGTCCACGGCGAGAGGCACAGGCTGGAAAGACACAGCCCAGACCAGAGGGACAGTGAGCTGAGGGCCAAAAGGAAGAGCCTTCCTACTGCCTCCACTTTTGAATGAATGGATTTCGTCTAAGGAGTACACATGTCACTTTTGGATTTTTAAATACTTTCATTTTTTAAATAAAGAAGATAGTGTTTCCGCCTTTTAGGAAAATCTTTACTATTACTTTAAATAAGAATATCAATCCATCTAAAATCCTGGGTTAAATTTCAGTGTTAAATACAACAAAAAGAATAAATACAAGAGACTCCCCCCTGTAAGCCTGTTAACTCTAAAAGGTATTATCACATTTAAATACCAGTACGAGCGAGCGGCTCTCAGAGCTACGATTAGAAACCCTGCACCCCCTCGCTATTTCCCCACCCCGACTCTCAGTTTAGTTTTTACAAATCTGTACAGGCTGCCATATTCATTTCAGTCCTTCTTGTCACAAAGTAAGTGGCCCAAGGAGCGTGTGCTGAGGGAGGGAGAGAGAGAGGGAGGAAGGGAGGGAGGGAGGGAGGGAGGGAGGAAGGGAGGAAGGAAGGGAGGAAGGAAGGGAGGGAGGGAGGGAGGAAGGGAGGGAGGGAGGGAGGAAGGGAGGGAGGAAGGAAGGAAGGAAGGAAGGAAGGAAGGAAGGAAGGAAGGAAGGAAGGAAAGAAGGGAAGGAATTCAGGGGTAGCCAAAGAGCAGCTTGTTCGAGCTTTTCCTGAGGTTTTCTAAAACACAAATGCTGCTTTGTTTTAGAAGATAGATCTATCTCACGTGCTAATTCACGGGGAAATCATAGAAAAATGTTAAACCATAAAGTGCAAACAGAGGGAACGGCTTTGAATGCTGATTGCTGACTGTGAACGTCTGGAAGGTACTTCCACCCCAGGAACTCTGAGGAGGGCGGGGTAGTAGGGGGCCACCCTCCCAAGTTCCTACAGCCCCACCCTCCCCACCATAAATGCAGAGTATTAAGACCCTCCGGAATGAGGGGCTGCTTTCCTGCCTGCAGAGAGCTGAGTCACAGACCAGAGAGGACACGGTATCAGTAGGATGGGCTCATGTTCACCTCTCAAGTCCAAGGCTGCGACGGCAGCACCGAGTGAGAGACAGGGAGGCTAGGCCCCCACCCGTGGCGCATCCTCAGGTGTCAGCTGATCTGAGTGGAAAGGGCCGGAAGTCCCATGTGCCTGGCACTGTTCCAAGCACTTGGATACACTGGGGGAGAAGACAGACAAAGGCCTCAAACCTAGGGAGCCTGTGTGGCACAGGGAAACGCAACCAATTCCGGAAAGAAATTAGGAAACTTTGTAAGAGACCAGCTAAGTCGGTAAGAGCTAAGGAGAGATCTGGCTGGATAAACCCAGTAAAAGAATGGAAAACACACCAGCCCAGATCCCATTTAAAATTATGGAGGCCAAAGAGAGGTTCGCATGGATCCCCCGCTGCCTTAGGCCGCTGCAGAGATCAACCCTCAACACACTCCTGAGGCAACAAGTCCAGTTGCGAAAATCTGTGCGGAGACTTCTCCCCGTGCTCCCGTCCTCCTCCGCTTCTCTAAATTAGTAACTTGAGCTCACTCCTGGTTTTACTTCCCCTGCAGCCGGACCCACCAGAGAGCTCACAGGCCCCGGAGTCCGCGCCCTGGTCTGCGTGCTGGCTCTGTCTGCACCCAGCCGGCGGCGTGGGCCAGCCGCCGCTTCATCTGTCCCGCCACAGCCCCGGGAGGAGGGGAGGAGCCATGGGGCTCAGTGCGGTCACCCAGACAGGCCTGGACACCCCAGGTGTCATGGCTGCTCGCTCCCTTCCAGAACCGTGGGCATGCTCAGGCCCTTGCCGGCGAGCGGTATGCACAGCGCTGAAGCCACCACCAGACCCATTCCAGGCTCAGGGACACAGCCTCCAAGGAGTCATAGTCTGGGTGTCAGGGGTGCGGGGTGCAGAGGAGGGCTGCGAGATTCTGGAAGCTCCGTCTGTAGGAAGTGGATGGGCCGATGGGACCTACCACAGGGCTTTCCAGCGTCCTGCAGGTGTGGCGCCCCCGCCTGCCAGCCTCCAGCACAGCAGAGCATGGCCCTCCAGCCACCTGGTCTTCCTGCAGCTCTTCTCTCCAGAAACGGCTCCCCATACACTGTCCCTTCTTCCGGCAACATGACCCGCCCCCAAACTCCACCTCAGGTGTCCACTTAAAAGTCACTTCCCCTGGGGGCTTTCCGGGCTGCCCGCTGCCCACGCTCCCACAGAGCCTGCACTTCCCTTTTCTAGGCTCATCACACTCGCGAGTGGCTTCCCTCCTGGAGCCTCTTCCCCAAAGCAGCTCCTCTGTCTTGTCCCCCTGTGTCCCCCACAGTTTTTGGAAGGCCTGGCCCTGAGTAGAAACTCCACAGAGATCTTGCGAACTCTGCTGGATGGAAGGACCCGCCAGCATGATGTGCAGGGAAAATGACTGGGGGACCTCAGGGTGCAGGTTCAGGTCCCAGCTTGGCCGAGGAGGGACCTCAACTGCTTGGTTTGTCCAGGGAGAGGGGGGCTGGCCGACGTGTAGGCTCCTCTCGCCTCCAACATGCAGCGAACAAGGCAGAGGAACGGATATTCATTTCCCTGCTCGGCCCTGAGCTAGGGTTTCAGGGGAGGCTGGACCAATCAACCGCACTGCCCAGCATTTCTGGGAGATTGTCCCTGCGCCCTGTCCTGAGTGCCGTGGGCACAGGAGAATAGAGGGCACGCCTTCCTGAGGGCCGCGGCCAACACCCTGGCTCTCCAAAGCAGGCCCTCTCTCCTCTCAACCCTGGGAGGCTCAGGCAAAGTCACCCGGGGAATAGAAGCTGCTGACGAAATGAAATACCCCGGATGGCGCTCTAGGTCGGCCTGGGAAATGCAAGCAACAGGGAGCCTATTTCAGAACCCACCCTCACCCCTGCGGAAAGGAAGGCCACATGGCTCCACCTTGGGGAAAGTGCGTCTGAGTCCAGAAGAGGCTTTGAATAAACTGATGATGAACATTTTCCAAGCCGTGTCTGCAAACACGTCACAGTTGCCACCTGTGGGGATTCCAGCCTCAGAGACCGAGGCTCAGTAACTGGCAGCCCACCGACCACATCTGCCCATGGATGTGTTTTGTCTGGCCGGCCAGGCTTTACTTTTTTCTTTAAAAATTAGTTAGAACCTTATAAGATTCTTCTGGGTTCACAGAAGAATCCAAATATCCAGCTTCCCTGGAGAAATAGGCAGCCGTGGGCTGAAGGTGGGGGAAGACATGTTGGAAGAAAGGCCCCTCGGGGTCCTGGGGGGCGGGGGGCAAGGGAAGACCTAGGTGGGCAGATCTTGAAGCAGGGCAAGCTCAGAGCGCCACAGGCCCCAAAGCGTTCACTGCCAAAGTCAGCTCCCCAGCCAGCGGCAGCCACTGGAGGCCCGGCAGCGGCCCCCTGATGACCCCCGTCCCCACCGCTCCCGACAGCCTTGCACCAAAAGCCGCACTCACGCACATTGCTTCCCAGACCCGGTAGGCGTTGAGCCGGTAGCCTCTCAGAAGTACGCAGGCACAGGCCTCACAAACACTCCCAGAGCCCAGGCCTCCTGCCCCATAATGTCGTCCACTCCCACCCTGCCCCCCCACCCCCGCTTCCACCCAACCTTCAAAGGCAGAAGCGCTGGCTGACCTTGGACTTAAAGGCTGCCCCCTGCAAAGAGCACACATCTACCCAGGAGAACAGTCAGAAACGTTTTCCGTGGGATGCCTGCCAACTCCGGGATGTTTTGTAAAGATACATTGAATAATTGACAACCCATCTGAGGCGCCCTGCTCTGGAATCGCCACATATGCTGATTATTTCGCTACCTCCTTACAAAATGCCCACGTGCCCAACTCCCGGGGCTGCATCCTCATAACTTATTCAGGCAAAACGAAATCGTTCACGGCGATGAACTAATGACGTAAATTGTTATTTTTGCTGTAAGTGTTTGTCCATTTGCACAGCCCCACTTAAACATGGATTAACACCCTCTTTAAAATTATGAATATTTGAGCAATACAAGACACCTAACCCGAAGCTTAAATCTTCTCCTAAATCCAATATGGATCAGATTTCTTGAGGGAATTTCAAAATATATTGGAATGGCAGCTTTAAGTTTATAAGGAGAGAAAAAAAATTAGGGAGAACATAATTATAAAGTGGAAGAAATACCTGCTTCTTATCTTGCGTTTTCTTAAAATCTTCACATGCTAGCCAAAATAAAACATTTTCTTCACTGAATTCCTTTTTTAAAAATTCCTATAAATACAGAGAAGAAAAATATAAAACAGTATTCTACTTCAAAACAAACAAACAAATAAATAATACATTTCCCATCAAGGATTGACTTGGCAAAATCCAAAAAATGAGAGTGAAAACTCCACCCTGAAAAACCAAGCTAATGATTAATGTTAAAGCTGAAATGTCATATGCATTTGAACTTAATGGCTTCGACATCCTACGGAAGAGCAAAACTGAAGCAAGTGTCTCCTCACAATTCTAAGCTAACAATAAATTACCAAAAAGTAAATTGAAGTGGAAGAAATATTAGTTCCTCCCAGACAGTGTTTAAATAAAGTACATTCCTCTAAAAGCAGGCCCCTTTTTTTAAAACACAACAAAAAAAGCCTATATTAAGCATGTCCAAAACCATCACGATGAAAACTATTTTAAGTTGGAGGTGTATATTTTTCTCCTTTGGCGGATGTTGGGGGTTAGCGGCACAGAAAAGCGTCCTCCAGGAGATGCAGGCAGAGCTCACAGTGGTCTGGTGTCCAGGAATGTTAACAGCCCTGCCTGCCACCCCTCCGCCCCCGGGCGCTGAAGACCGGGGCCCGGAGGGCTTGTCCTGGCCTGACCTGGACCTAAGGAAGGACTTGGGTGGAACTCAGGCAGATACAGGGCATTCTTCAAATTCACACAAGCTGTTCCTAGCAGACACCGGGGCTGCTGCTGGCCAAAATCGCTATTTCTAGGCAGCACCAACACTTCCCCATCCATCAGCCACCTCGAAGTTCGACTTCACTTTGCCAGTTGTCGCCTAGCATGTCTCATTCTGTTAATAATCCCAACACACAGAGGAACAAAATACACAAAAGACCCAGACCTTCCCTCCTGGGTGTCACAGAGCTGGACATTCTTGTGGACCCTGCCCATAAGCGTGGTCTCTCTTCCCCATCGCCCTGCCCCCAAGTCCAGCTACAGGAACGCCCCCTGGTGCCGGTCTGTGGCTTCCCCGGGGAGCCTTTCCACCTTGGCATTGACAGGGGAGACGGTCTTGTTCTCGAGCTGGGACAGACAGTGTTAAAAGCTGGCCTGTGCTCTCCCCATGTGCATCTAAACTTCACGCGTTGACTCGATCCCATCAACAATGAAAAAAGCAAACCCGAAATCTTTTCACGCCTTCGGGGTCTTCGAGCAGGTTCTCTAGAGAGGCTGCCCATTTGGCCGTGCTCTTGGGGTGCTGGTGGCCGCTGCTGGAACTCCCGTCACCGTCGTGGACGTCTGCAAAGCAAAGTCACACTGTGGACACGGCCCAGAGGTGTGTCATATGACAGTATCTGCATACGAGGGTCGTCATCATCATCGCCACTCTTGTGGCTAACAGCTATTAAGGGAGGTGCTGGAACCTATTTTAGGTGCTTAACCCAGTGCACTCACGCTAGTCCTGACAACAAACAACCTTGCGGAAATAGGTGCTCCCAGGCCTTCCATTTTGCAAATGAGGAAAACTGAGGCTCGGAGTGATGAAAGGGCGTGTCGTTTCCTGACACTCCCCTTCCATCCTCCGCCACCCCCGTGTCCCCTGGCAAGTCTCACGCAAGACCCCCTTGCAGGACGCCTCGGCTCCCCGGGGATTCCTTCCCCATTGCACTTTCTGCACCGTCCCGGAACTATCATGCTGAGTCGTGACCACTTGCACAGCTGACTCTTACTCATCCAAGCGCTCCTGTACATCTCATCTTGTATCTGCAGCCTGCGGCTCATTGCCTGGCACACTCATAAGAGTATGTGCCAGGGCCGGAACCAGGGCGGGACAAGGGAGCCACCAACCGCAGGCGCAGAATGCAAGGGGGTTACCAAAACACGCAGGCCTCGAGAGAAAGGATATTTTCACTCAATACTTTGAAAAACAAAAATTATTGCGAACCGTTCCATTATGAGGAAAATACCAAAATTTTAAATAAAGACAGGATCGTTATTACTGATTTTTCCTCTCGCCCCGGGCTCCAACACGGCCCGGCATCACTCTGGCGACAGCGTGTGAGGCCTGGCCAAGGAGCGGCTCCTCGTTCCCGCCCGTCTGCGCCCTCTCCATTCCAGGACCCTGGGAAGCCTTCCGACAAAGGAGAGGGGACAGGGGACCGCCAGCGTGGCCTGACGGGGGAAGCGACAACACAAACTCGTCTCGTCCGACAGCATTTGGCCCCTTCCTAAAGTCAAAGGAAAACCAGGAAATGTCACTTGGGATGGGCCCGCGTCCCACAGCCAGTTTGGCCAATTCCAGCTGCGTGACCATGGCCGAGAGTCTGCGTGTGACATAAAGATAACCCCCTATACCTCAGGTTACCCGGCGAGTGGTAGAGCCTCCCTCCCCTTCCGTACCATAATGACCCAAGTGTACTATTTTTATAGCTACTATTTTTTTCTCCATTCCCTGTTTTTTTCAAAGTAGAGACACATTTCTATTTCTTTTAAAAAGTTTGAATCAAAGAGGAAATAAGCCTTTTAATTAAGAAATCAGCCAAATCTGGGGTGGGGAGGGGGACAGTTTGTAAAATATACGATTGTCTTAACCACTATGCTGTACACTTGAAATTAACACAGAATAAAATTGAATGTAAACTGTAATTGAAAAATAAAAAATAATAAAAGACATCAGCCCAGCCAATCACCTTGAAAGGGTAAGTGAAAAAGTCTTATAAATGTTAACTGCTGCAAATAACTAGGGGCCATTGTGTTTTGGAGAGGAGAGTTGTATCAGGATATGTTGGACTTAATAGTAACTCAGCAGGTGTGACCTCTCATGTTCTAGCAAGTGGTCAACAGGGGCTTTAATTTCTCAAGCAGCTGAGACTCCACCTCCCAGCATCTGGGAAAACTACCTGGACTTAAGTCACTCTCTGGCTGACTCAGGCTACGTAAAGCAGAAGCCAGAACCCCAGAGGAAGGCTGTGTTTCAATACGTCCCGGTGATGGAGCGCATAAGGGAATGATTCCGGGCAAATCCGTTCCTCTAATTGAGAAGCAAACTCACTCAAACATGTCGCAAATGGATCTGATGCTCCTCTAAAGTGAACTTTCGGTTTGCGGGTATTAGATTAGTTTTCTGCTCTCTTTGCAGATGCTAGCTAGAATGGCACGCCTTCGAACACTCAGTTCTTCCCAACAAAGTGTAAATCGAATTAAGAGATCGTTATTATAAGACATTTCTGCTACAGGGTGCATTCTGCCAAGCATTTCACTCATTCACCCAGAGGATACAGTTTGACAGTTGACCCATTTCCCCAGCAGATCCTCTCTTAAGTAAATAAATGTAGAGACACAAGTTCGCTGTTCCAGGAACAATCCTTGGCAGCTGCACGTTTCCCTTGCTGTTGCAGAGCCACTGCTTGGGTCCCCAGTTTTCAACCTGGGCCTCCAAGGGCTCCAGAGCTCTTGACATTCTTTTCAATAATAAACCAAACCACAATGGGGTTTTCACTGATAGGCGACCATGCAAATAAATACACGCGGTGGATTCCCATTCAGTCGAAGAGTGCTCTGTTTAACCAGATGTCCTGGCTAACGGAGAGGTAAGATGGCTGTCCCCACCACTCAACAACTGCCGCCCCCCACCCTCTGTTTCGTGCTCTCATCCTTTTGCATGTTGGGTTTCCGTGCCAGCTTTCATTTGCATGAGAAGTTTTAAAATTCAAAACCCCACTAACCTAATCTAGTTGCTTTATTTTATATAGCCTGGAAAATAGAAAGTCCAGAGGGTAAATGACCTACCCAAGGTGAGCCAGCTAAGGCCAGCCGGATGGAACCTGACTGTCTTTCAATTTTGATTAAGGCTCTTGGCTTTGCCTTTCTTTCATAATCCGCCTTGATTGGTATTAAGACAAGAGGGAGAGGGAGAGAGAGAGGATAGGTAGGTAGATACATAGATAGATATATAGATAGATAGATCGATCGATCGATCAATCGATAGATAGATAATACGTACATAGATCTGGATAGATCACCATTTACAAACTCCGCTCAACAAACAGCATCTCTCTTTTCCATGTGCTTATTCCCAACTTTCAAAGAGACTGAGCAGAGATCCACACCATCTGGTGCTACCCTAGGTTTTGCCCTTTCACTCAGGACATTTCCATTACCCGGCATCTGTCCCTACTTAGCAGACATCCACTATTTTCTGAGGTGTTGGGGTGGCCAAAAGGTTTGTTTGGTTTTTTCTATAAGATGGCTCTAGAAGTGCCTAGTTGTCTTTAACTTCACTCAAAACAGCTTTGTTAGATTGCACTGTGACAGCTGTCATATCAGCATGTATTTTTTTAAAAACATCAAAATTGATGAATTTTTGTGTAGCCATTTTAATATTGAAGATGGAAGAATATATGTAACATTTTTGGCATACTATGCTTTATTATTTCAAGAAAGGTAAAAACGCAACTGAAACGGAAAAAAAAAGATTTGTGCAGTGTGTGGAGAAGGTGCTATGACTGATCGAACATGTCAAAAGTGGTTTGCGAAGCTTCATGCTGGAGATTTCTCACTAGACAATGCTCCACGGTCGGGTAGACCAGTTGAAGTTGACAGTGATCAAACGGAGACATTAATTGAGAACAATCAACGTTCTACCACGTGGGAGAGAGCCGACATACTCAAAATATCCAAATCAATAAAGTTATTAGTAAAAATAAAAATGTGGTTTTTATTTTATGAGAAAAAACATACGGACTTTTTGACCAACCCGATAAGTCAGTAAGGGCTTCCCTAGGCCACCTCAGTTCACTTGAAATGTTATAATCAGCCCAATAATGTGCAGGAGAAAGAAATAACCTTTCTCCACAACAAGGAGGTTTACTATCTGGATTTTAGATTAAAGCAAAACCCAGCTTCCCAACTCCTGCCACTTGGGTCGTCTTCTTTCCTTTTTTATTGATAAAGTTTCCCTTTTAGATGGATTATACAAAAAGGTAGGTTTGGAATGCACAGGGAGAAAAAAAACTGCACATGTTTTCTAAGCAGCTTTCAGATCCTCAAGTTAGTAAGGAGCCGTTAGTGATAACAAGTTTCCATTCTGTCCAGTTCTGTTTACTTTTTATTGTTGTTTAGTTCAATTGTAAAACATTTTTGTAATGAAAAAAAAATAGTTTAAACCTCATGAGCTCTTGAAAGCGTTTTAGATCTTCAGATTTTTGCAGGCACAATACTTATTTTTCAATAAATTTGTCTTCAGATTAATCTGTCATTAGCTAATAAGACAAACTGTTTACAATGTTTTGGATACTGTTCTGAGCTTTTTACATAGGTTACATCATGCAGTTCTCAAAATGACCCTCTGAGGGGGTTCATATTATTCCCACTTCACAGGTGAGGAAACTGAGGCACAATAATCTGCAAGGTTACCCAAATAGGAAATGGGAATCGTGGTCAAGCGCAGACAGTCCTGCCCCAGAGCGCATGCCCTTTACCATGACACCCTACTGTCATTTTTGTTGTTGTTGTTATCTGTTGAGCGTCACACTCACAGAGGCCAGAACGTGACGGCCTTGAAGAGAGAATTACGCTGTGGGAGAAGACTGGGAAAACTGGGTAAAAGTCCAATTCTGCGCAGAAACTCCTTTAAGACTGTGCCAGAATCATCTAGCACGCAAACACACGCACATACGCTTCCCATTTACATATATGCTGCTCTGTGTGGTTTCTGGCTTCAGTAAAAGCCATTATTTCAGACGTGCAGCATCCAGTTGCAGATGGCTGAGGCTGAGTTCTTGCAGCGTATTGCGTCGTGCATTATTTATAGGCGCTCTGATGTCATATCTGCCAAAGACCTTCTCCACACATTAATTCCTTGGAAATGCATACTCAAAGGGCACCTGGAATTGACTGCTTATGATATGGATTCCTGCTATTAGTCTGCAGGAAGGTCTGGGCAGTGCTCTTGCATTGGCGGTTTCCCCAAGTCAAACAATATTTTAGCAAAATCTTAATATCCAGCTTCCTCAACAGCAGAGGCAACTTATGCCCTCAAAGGGTCCGTCCCAAGTGCCCCTGACACTCACAGTCTATCAAAGAAAATAAACATCCAAGCCCAGGAAAAGGCAGAAATGTTAGCCAGAACTTCTTAAGTGGTTTGGTACAAGACACACACGCATGCAACATGCACACACACATGCACACACACTCTACCCCTTGAAAATATTCAAGGAAAGTGCACACCCCAGAAAACTTTTTTAAAACCTCAGACCACCTATATATACCACATCAAACATATTACATTAAAAGAAAAA